AAATGGGAATTATCGTTTGCTGGATATGGATTTTCAGTTTGGGATGATGAAAAAGTTTTAGAGATGGATAGTGGTGATGGTGGTCCAACAATGTGAATATATTTAATGCCATTGAATGATACACTTAAAAATGGCTCCAATGGTAAATTTTATGTTATGCATATTTCCCACAATTTTTAAAAGTAAAGAAAAAAATTCGCTCCTCATCATTATCTACATTAGTTGTCACTTCACGGATCCTAGGAGAATCCAAGATATACAAACAGCTCATGCAGCTCAATATCAAAAAATCAAACAACCCAATCAAAAAATGGGCGGAAGACCTAAATAGAAATTTCTCCACAGAAGACATACAGGTGGCCAAGAGGCACATGAAAAGATGCTCAGCATCACTAATTATTAGAGAAATGCAGATCAAAACTACAATGAGGTATCACCTCACACTGGTCAGAATGGCCATCATCAGAAAATCTACAAACAATAAATGCTGGAGAGGGTGTGGAGAAAAGGGAACCCTCTTGCACAGTTGGGGGGAATGTAAATTGAGTCAGCCACTATGGAGAACAGTATGGAGGCTCCTTAAAAAACTAAAAATAGAACTACCATATGACCCAGCAATCCCACTACTGGACATATACCCAGAGAAAACCATAATTCAAAAAGACACATGCACCCCCATGTTCATTGCAGCACTATTTACAATAGCCAGGTCACGGAAGCAACCTAAATGTCCATCAACAGGTGAATGGATAGAGAAGATGTGGTACATATATACAATGGAATATTACTCAGCCATAAAAAGGAATGAAATTGGGTCATTTGTAGAGTCGTGGATGGACCTAGAGACTGTCATACAGAGTGAGGTAAGTCAGAAAGAGAAAAACAAATATATATTAACACATATACGTGGAATCTAGAAAAATGGTACAGATGAACTGGTTTGCAAGGCAGAAATAGAGACACAGACATAGAGAACAAATGTATGGATACCAAGGGGGAAAAGCCGGGGTGGGGGGGTGGGGGTGAGATGAATTGGGAGATTGGGATTGACATATATACGCTAATATGTATAAAATAGATAACTAATGAGAACCTGCTATATAGCACAGGGAACTCTACTTCACTTTGCTGTATAGTAGAAACTAACATAACATTGTAAAACAACTATACCCCAATTAAAAAAAAAAAAAAGGAGATTATGGAGTAAGCCAAATCACTCTCCGTGCCTCAGTTTAACCATCTGTGAAATGGAAGGGTTGGGTGGAGAATCCGTGATTCCTAGAGTTGTTGTGTTAGAAGAGGAGAGACTTGGGGGAAATAACCCCTACGGAAAATAAGAAGCCCAGGACTATATAAATAAACATTGATACCTACTAGGTTTTGAGACTCTACTACAGGTCAGACATAAACATTTTTTATTAACATTTTTAAAAAATTTAAATTATCAAATATTTTAAACATACAGAAAAATCCCTAAATATAGTGATTGTGTCCACCTCCATGAGATCTTAACTCTTTATTCACTGCTGTATCCCCAGAGCCTAGAACAGTGCCTGGGACACAGTAGAAACTCAGTGAGTTTTTTTTTGAATGAATAAATGACTCCTTATGTCTCTTCATATACAAATAAATGTTAGCTCCTCTAGGGTAATTCCTACAAGTGGAATTGCTTCAACTCTAATAAGTTAATTGCCAAACAGCCCACCAATTTACACCCTCGTCACAAATATGTAGGTTTTGTGTTTGCTCAGATTCATACCAACGTTTGAAATTATCACGCTTTCTTATTTTTGCCAATCTGATGGATGTTAATGGTATCTCACTGTTTTATTTTGCATTTCCTTGATTATTAGTGAGGTTGGGCATTTTTCCTTAGGCTTTTCTTATGACTTGCCTGTTCCTTTTTCCTATGCCCATTTTTCTACTGGGTTATCTTTTATAGTATCCAATATATATTTTGGATACTAACTCTTTGTTAATGTTTTGCAAATATCTTCTTCTTGTTGGTGGCTCATGTTTTCTCTGTGATATGATTTTTTGACCAGAAATTTTAATTTTAATATTTTCAAATTTATGAATATTTTCCTTTATGGTTTGTACTTTATGTGTTTTGTTTAAGAAATTCTTTCCTACTCTGAGTTGATAAAGACATTCTCTTTTTATCTAAAATTTTTTTATTAACTCTTATTGGGAAATAATTTCAAATTTACAAAATGCTGCAAAGATAAAAACAGTACAAAGAACATTCATATACCCTTTACCCAGATAGTGTTAACATTTAATCACATTTGTTTATCATTTGATAAGTATAATATACAACATATAGTATGTAATACATATGATATAAAACGTGTACATATATTTTTTCTGATCTATTTGAGGGTAAGTTACATACATTATGGTGCTTTACAGCTAAATACTTCAGTGTGTACTTCCTACAAATAGGGATAGCACAGTTCAAAATTTACACTGATAAAATACTTTTATCAAATCTCCTGTTCATATCCCAGTTTCGTCAGTTGACAAATTTGATGTTGATACACTTTATAGCATTTTTATAATCCTATGAACTCTATAACCATATAGCAGTTATAAAAACCCTTTGTACAGGCTCCAAGCTAGAGGCAGGTATTGCATTTAATTGTCATATCTTTTTAGCTTCCTTTAATCTGGAACATTTCCTCAACCTTTATTTGTCTTTTATGATATTGACATTTTTGAAGAATACAGGCCCCTCCCCTCTTTTCAGTAGAATGTTCCTTGTTTTGTGTTTATCTGCTGTTTCCTTGAGATTAGACTGATGAAATGCACTCTCGGCGGGAACACACATAGATGAATATTGTGGAGTATTGCAGCTGTGCAGTATTACAAAGATGTAGTATTGTATCTTTCTCAGGTTATGATGTCTGGAGGTACACAATGTCTATCTGCCCCTCATTGGTTGACCAATGCTAGTCAAAGTGTTGTCCAATTTCTCCACTGTATAATCACTGCTTTTTTTTATTGTTATTAATTTATTTTTGCTGTGCTGGGTCTTCGTTTCTGTGCGAGGGCTTTCTCTAGTTGTGGCAAGCGGGGGCTACTCTTCATCGCGGTGCGCGGGCCTCTCACTATCGCGGCCTCTCTTGTTGCGGAGCACAGGTTCCAGACGCGCAGGCTCGGTAGTTGTGGCTCGCGGGCTCTAGAGTGCAGGCTCAGTAGTTGTGGCGCACGGGCCTAGCTGCTCTGAGGCATGTGGCATACTCCCAGACCAGGGCTCGAACCGGTGTCCCCTGCATTAGCAGGCAGATTCTCAACCACTGCACCACCAGGGAAGCCCTAATAACTGCTTTTTATTTTTTTGCTCCCCCACACTCATAAGCAATCGGTAGGGAGACACCTTAAGACATGCCAATATGCTGGGGACTTCCCTGGTGGTCCAGTGGTTAAGATTCGAGGCTCCCAGTGCAGGGGGTCCAGGTTCAATCCCTGGTCAGGGAACTAGATGCCGCTGGCAGCAATGCAGGCAATGAAGATCCCTGTGCTGCAACGAAGACCCCACACAGCCCAACAAATAAATACATATTTCAAAAAAAAAAAAAGATATGCAAATATCCTGCTCATCAAAATTTCTTCCTAGCTTTAGCATCGATGATTCTTTCCTGATCCAACCTTTGCCATGACAGTTGGAAAATGATTCATTTAAAGTTTAAAATTGTGTTTTTATGTATGTTTTTAACCTGGAATTGATTTTGTAGTGTGAGATAGGGATCAAATTCTACCTCCTCCCTCCCCCTCCTGTATGGCTAAGTAATCAGCTCCATTTGTGGAAAAGCTGATAAGAAATGTCCACTCCTTCATACATCAAATTTCCATTTTTGCTGGGTTTGTTTCAGTAGTCTCTATTCTGTCCAATTGGTTTATTTGTTTATCCCTGCACCGATACTACAGTGTTTTAATTATTATAGTTTTGTAATAAATTTTGATATATAGTAAGGCAAGTATCCCATTATATTCTTCTTTAAAATTGTCTTCTCCATTTTTGTCTTCCTGGCAATTATATTCATTGTCACAGATAATTTCCACAACAATCTTGAGAGAGATTAAGAAACTTTCCCAAGGTCACAAGGCCAATAAGGAGGAATTTGAACCCAGGCCTGCCCAAGGTCAGAGTTCTTTCCATTTCTTCCTGGGGTTCTGCCTACCCAAAGCCAAAGGGATGCTTACCTAGGCATGGAGAAGTGGAGGTCAGAGAATCAAGTGTGGGCAGGTGAGAGAAGGCAGGTATCAGACTGGGTTTGGGTTTGGTCTCTGGGTGTAGACTTTGCCAGCCAAGGGACTTGGTTCCGACTTGGCTGGCAGAACTGGAAACAAGATTGGAGGAAATGGGACCCCAGGACTGATCACCCACAGGTCTCCATGGGCACATCTTGCTGCTTCCCAGGCTGAGCAGGGTAATGTGGCAGCAGCCTGACAGGGGGACCTGCGGCTGCTTCTATGCTGGGGGTTATGGTGGGGGGCTTGGGACGCAGGGAGGGGAAAGAATCTGGCTGGCTGCCTGGAAGCTAGGACAGAACCCACCCCAGGGAGCCCCATCCTCCACCAGCCCCTCCCTGCCTGCTTAAGAGACCCTAATCAGCTTGGGGAGATTAAGGGCTCTGGCCGGCTCTTCCCACACCCCCGCCCTGGGCCCTGGCAAAGGAGACCCGTGGGAGGGCGTCAGAAGGATCGGCCCTGTGACCCCGAGCCCCGGCCCTGGCCCGAGCCCCGGACTTTCCGGTGAGTGGCAGAGCCCCCTCCACACGGAACTCCAGGTCCTTCCTGCCGGAAAGAGACCATGGAAGGGAATGGGAGTGTCCCCACTGGCCCCTGACAGCTCTAAGAGGGGGAGAGGGGCAGACAAGGAGGAGCGGGAAGCAGAGCAAAGCGGGGGGGGGGGGGGGGAAGGGGGGTGCTTCCAGGCTATGCCCCTGACCCCATATAGTCGTCCAAGCCCGCGGAGGGGGGTGTGGAAGCATAGACAAGCCGTGGGTTAATTGGGCTTTGAGAACCTTGGGGGTTGCGGAGAGCCCTAAGAGAGCCCTGGGGGTCGCGTCCTCTCATGCTGCTCTGCTTATGCTCCCAGAAGCCGGCAATGACCGCCCGCGCCCTCCTCGCGGGTGGGCTTCGGGACCCCGGGCTCTGCGCCCCCACGCGGGAGGCTCCGTCTCCGCCCGGCCTTCCCCGGACGCCGTCCCGGCCCCGGCCTCTGCTGCGCCCCCTGCTGCTGCTGCCGCTGCTCCTCCTGCCGCGCCCCGCCCTCTCCGCTGTGTTCACAGTTGGGGTGCTGGGCCCCTGGGCCTGCGACCCCATCTTCGCCCGTGCCCGCCCGGACCTGGCCGCCCGCCTGGCCGCCGCCCGCCTGAACCACGAAGCTGCCCTGGAGAACGGCCCCCGCTTCGAGGTCGCGCTGCTGCCCGAGCCGTGCCGGACGCCGGGCTCGCTGGGGGCGGTGTCCTCCGCGCTCACCCGCGTCTCGGGCCTCGTGGGGCCGGTGAACCCCGCAGCCTGCCGGCCGGCGGAGCTACTAGCTCAAGAGGCGGGGATCGCCCTGGTTCCCTGGGGCTGCCCCGGAATGCGGGCGGCGGGAACCACGGCTCCCGCGGTGACGCCCGCGGCGGATGCGCTCTACGCCCTCCTGCGCGCGTTCCGCTGGGCGCACGTGGCCGTGGTCACCGCCCCCCAGGACCTGTGGGTGGAGGCGGGACGCGCACTTTCTACGGCGCTCAGGGCCCGGGGTCTGCCCGTTGCCCTGGTGACCTCTATGGAGCCCTCGGACCTGTCTGGAGCCCGGGATGCCCTGAGGAGGGTCCAAGGTGGACCCAGAGTCAGAGGTAGGCTCCCCTGCAGGATGCGGGGGGTCGGCCGTCCAGCGAGCAAAGGACAGAGCACCGAGCGGAGCCTCTGTGTCCGCAGCAGTGATCATGGTGATGCACTCGGTCCTGCTGGGCGGTGAGGAGCAGCGCTGCCTGCTGGAGGCTGCAGAGGAGCTGGGCTTGGCTGATGGTTCCCTGGTCTTCCTGCCCTTCGACACGCTGCACTACGCCTTGTCTCCAGGCCCGGACGCCTTGGCCGTGCTCGCCAACAGCTCACAGCTTCGCAAGGCCCACGATGCGGTGCTCACCCTCACGCGTCACTGTCCCACGGGAGGCAGCGTGCTGGACAGTCTGCGCAGGGCCCAAGAGCATCAGGAGCTGCCCCCTGACCTCAATCTGCAGCAGGTAGAGGGACCAGGGAGGAGGGAAGAGGGGAAGAGAGCAGAGAATAGCCAAAAAGGGGAGATGGAGGCTGGAGGCAATGGAAAGAGAAGTGGATAGAGTCGATGGAATGAGAGGAGGATGCAGTCAATAGGAGGGAGTAGGAGGCCAGTAGGGAGAGAATAACCAGCAGCTCTGCATGTCCTGGGTGATGTAAAGGCTCTGGCCTTGCTTGGAGTATCTTTGTGTATTGGAATTGCTTCCAGAGAGTTGGCAATGAGACTTCTCAAGGTCAGCTCCAAAGAGCAAACGTTAACAAACTCTGCACTGCAGCATCTTTTGCAGTCTACTTTAAAGTAAACCCACTTCCAACACGGCCATGACATACAGTCTGTATTAAACAACCGGTGTTCTTAAGAGAGCAGGAAGGAGGGAGAATACAGATCCAGCCTCCATGCCCAGTTCGGAGGTGTTTCCTCTGGGCCTTCACCTAGTGGTCTTAACTTTTTGAGAGCCTTACATCTTGTGAGAAGCAGAAAGGTCCCTAGGTGGAGCAAGGGCTTCTATAACCATCTAGATTCACAGTTTATTCCCATCAAGCAGCTAATATCCAGGATTTCCTGAGAACAGTGGTGAGATGGGATGGCGGACAGGTGGGGAAATAGAGGTGGGGGAAATGGTGGGGAAAACCCTCTTCAGTTCTCAGTAAGTAGCATAGCCTTTCACCTAGCTGCCCAAGTGAGACCCCTGGGAGTCACCCTTGATTCCTCTAACCCTTCCCCCAACATCCAGACACCAAGTTCTGTCACTTATGCTTCCCAAAGGTCATTTGAATCCATCTACTTTCTCCATCCTCACTGTCACACCCCTGGTTCAGGCCACAGCACCTCTGGTCCAAATCCCCGAATAAAACCTCCCAAGTGGCCTCTGCTTCAGCACTTACCTACCCCAGGCCTTTCCCCACCCAGCAGTCAGAGTGACCTTCAGAAAGCTGGCACATCGGACTGTGTCACTCCCCCATCCAAAGTCTCCCAGTGGCTTCTCTTGCCCTGGATAGATACAGGTCTCTTCACTTGGTTTATCAGGTCTCATGTCTTCCTCTCTCTTCTTTCTTGAACTTCAGCCAGACCGAGCTACTTTGGGTTCCCCAGATGTGACCTTCTCTTTTGCTTCTGTGCTACTGGGTGTACTGTTCCCTCTCTCCTGTCCCTACACTCCCCCAGATATTTCGGATTCGTCCCCTGAGGGATGGTCACTTCTGGAAGCGTCTTCCTCCTCCCCCAGCCTGGGCTGGGCATCTTTTCGACTCTCCTCAGCTCCCTCAGTTACCCCTCCCCTCACTCATTACACTGCATTAACATCCCTGTCTGTCTCCCCCCACTAGAGGAAAGATTCCTCGAGATAGGGACTCTGTCTTGTACCCTGATATATCCCTAGTGCTCTACACAATGCCTGGCGCTGTGAGAGATGGGAACTGGGAATAATAGAGAAGCTCCGTGAGATCAGGTGGTTGCCTTGGGGAAAAGAAAAGACCTAAAGATAGAAAACAGAAGCCAACCAAAAGATGAGAAATAAGGCTTTCAATGAATGGTAGATAATGATTTTAAAAATATATGCAGGGCAACCAAAAGGAGAGGGAAGAGAGGAGATGTAGGTATTGGAGTTAGAAGTAACAGGTGATAAGAAGAGCGTAAGAATACTGAAAAGAGGAAAGGGCAGTGGCAAAAAGGGGTGGGATAGACAATTGGGGAGAGAGGAAGAGAGAGCCAATGAGGAGGGATATGGAACCACTAACTAGGAGGTGCGAACAGTCAAAACACACAGGGCTTGAAGGACTCGAAGGGCCCAGTGAAAGGATAAGCGGAGACAGTAAGTCCCCGTCTATTTACGGGCCGTGACCCCGAAACCTGAACCCCCTACCGTTCCTCCCCAGGTATCCCCTCTCTTCGGCACCATCTATGACTCGGTCTTCTTGTTGGCCGGGGGCGTGGCGCGAGCGCGGGCGGCCGCAGGTGGCGGCTGGGTGTCCGGAGCAGCCGTGGCCCGCCACGTCCGGGATGCCCAGGTCCCCGGCTTCTGTGGGGCCCTGGGAGGAGCCGAGGAGCCCTCCTTTGTGCTGCTGGACACGGATGCAGCCGGGGACCGGCTGTTCACCACATACGTGCTGAACCCCACCCGGGGCTTCTTCCGCTCTGCCGGAACCCCGGTGCATTTTCCTAGAGGGGGACGGGGGCCTGGGCCCGACCCCTCGTGTTGGTTCGACCCAGACGTCATCTGCAACGGAGGTGAGGGCGAACATCCCAGCCCACACTGGGACAGTGACCATGAACCCTCCACAAAGTGGTGAACTCTCATCCTGTAACTCCTGTTGGAGGCCCTTCCAGGTCCTCCTCAGAGACCCCTGGCTTGTGCAGGACCCCTGTCTTGCTGAGCCCCTGGAACCCTCTTGGAACCTTTCTAGCATTCCCAGACCACCCCCCGCCCCGCCCTTTGCAGGACCCCATGACCTTTCCCTAGATCCTGTTATGGGCTCCCATCCCCCTTTTCTGGAGCCTCCAAGATTTGACGTGACCGCATTCCTCCCTAGAGAGCAGCGGTCCCCAACCTTTTTGGCAGCAGGGACCGGTTTCGTGGACGACAGTTTTTCCACGGACTGGGGCGGGGCGGGGGGGTGTTCAGGCGGTGATGCCAGCTATGGGCAGCGGCAGACGAAGCTTCGCTCACTCACGCCGCTCACCTCCTGCTGTGCGGCCGGGTTCCTAACAGGCTGCGCGGACAAGTAGCGGTCTGTGGCCCGGGGGCTGGGGACCTCTGCTAGAGAGGATGCCTCCCCTCTGCTACAGTCCTCAGCATCTCTCCTCTCACTGCCCCTCCAGGAGTGGAGCCCGGCGTCGTCTTTATCGGCTTCCTCCTGGTGGTTTTGATGGGGCTGACAGGGGCCTTCCTGGCCCATTATTTTAGGTGAGTAGGGTAAGTAGGAGAGGAGCTTGGCTCTCCACCTGCCAGAAATGCAGCTGTGCAGCAGGCTGGGCCCACTCAAGAGTAGAAGGAGGGAGGATGTTTTTTGGAGAGGGGGAGAAGGAAGGAGTCCTTAGAGGGCTGGCAGAGTCCCAGGGGGGGTCTGGTTTGCGGATGACTGCCCTCCCCTGAGCCAGCATTTCCCCCCACTGGCTTCCTCTCATGGACCTTGGTCCCCTTTGCGAAGATGACCTCCTTTCTCTACCAGGCACCGGCTACTTCACATCCAAATGGTCTCCGGCCCCAACAAGATCATCCTGACTCTGGATGACGTCACCTTCCTCCCCCCGCAGAGGGGCAGCTCTCGGAAGGTGGGGGAGGAGGGGAGCCAGGACCCAGCTGTCCTCCCCTATATGTTCGGTCCCCTGCCTGGGCCAGCCCTCACCCCAGCCCCCACCTGGGAAGGCCTGGTTTCTGCCTTCGCTCTGTCCCAGGTCTGAGTGCTGGGATCAACGCCCTCATGTGTGCAATGAGGATAACAGCCCCTGTCCTGACCGCTTTCCTTGGATAGGGTGAAGCTCCAACAGAAAATGAATATGTTTGTTTTGTAAGCTCTGAAGTGTCGTGTACTTGGGAAGTAATGTCATTATCACCTTCCCGAACTAAGATTTCTTCCCTTCCCCTCTTTAATCCCCAGATTTAAGCCTGACCTCAACCCAGGACCCTGAACCCATAGTATATTTTGACCCCATGCACTGACCTCTACCCTCCAGGTGGCCCAGGGGAGTCGATGGAGTCTGGCCGCCCGCAGCTTGTCAGACGTTCGCAGCATCCACAGCCAGATCCCGGATTACACCAACGTTGGCCTCTATGAGGTGAGCCTGAGACCCAGGCAGGCCGAGCTCCATTCCTGGAGTCGCGTCGTATCTTGCAGAGTCCAGGAAATGGGGATAGGAGCCCAGAATGGGAACTAGGGAGACTTCATGGATTCCTCCTCAAAGGGGAGCATCTGGGAATCCTTCCTGCTGGGGGATTTTCCCTTAGCCATTATCCGGGTGAGGGCTCTTCAAAGGCTCATCACAGTGGCCTAAAGACTAGAGGCCTGACGGTGGGGAGTTTGATGGGACCAGCATGTAGCCTGAAGAGGCCACTGAGGTCGTCGTCCTCCCCCTCAGTGCTCTAAGCCTTTGGGTTACTGAAGGGCACAGGCCTCCCTGGAAAGATTGAGACAGAGGTTCATCTGGGAAGTGATCTCATGGTCACAAAGAGGACTTTTCCAGGATTGGATTGTTCCAGGAAGGGGCTTCCAGACTGAGCTAATCTCTGACTCAAGCCAGACCCACGTCTTGGCCCCACCCAGCACTTCTACCCCAATCAGATCACACTGTGGAGCAGTAAGACTTAGAGGGGAAAAAGAAAGTCACAAAAGGGCATTAGGACATTAACCACGGGGCCAGCAGATCTGAATGTGGTGGGATGGGTGGGAGATGACGAGAACAGATTCAGAGAGCGCTGGGAGAGAGCTCCACTAATGAAGAGGGCGTGGAGATTTAGAGCCCTTGGGTGTCATGTCGTGGAGAGAACGCAGAGGCTCCTAGTGTGTCACCTAGAGGCCATTGCAGCCGTTTCCCAGTAGAACGCTATTGTCGTTTGGGGCAGGACCCTATGCCTTGAAGAATGTTTAGCGCCGCTTGTCTCTGACTCTGTCCACTGATCACAGCCCCCAGTTTTTGTGACAATTAAAAATGTCTCCACATTTATTTCCAAATCTTCTTTAGGGCTCAGTACCAAACCCCCAGAATTCCCTCCTAGTCCAAATCCTTTATCAACAGGCAAGGCCAACTACATAGTCTGCAAGGTCTAGGGCAAAATAAAAATGAAGTGCCCTTTGTTCATTCAGGATGACAGCAGCAGATCACTGAACCAAGCTCAGGCCCTTCTGAGCACAGGGCCCTGGGGGACTGCATGGGTCGCACGCCCATGAACTGGCCCTGCGGACAGCTGAGGACAGCGAGGCCCAGAGCCTGCAGGGGAGCTGTCTATCCTTCACCGTTAGTCTGTAATAACGCGTGATCTACCCAGACTCCTCGACGCCCACCACAGTGCTCTCTTATGGCAGCGGGTGGTGATGAGGGCTGTGATTTCAATGACACTTGTGGTGGTGTTGGCTCACTTAATAGGGCTGTTGGTGAGCGCATCTGGCGTGGTGAGGACAGCCTCTGCGTCCCTCTTTCCCACGGGCGGGCTCTCATGCAGCTGGCTGTGAAGTGGGCTGGCAGACGTTATACCCCTTGCCCCTGAAGCTCTTTGTCACATGGAAGATGGGTTCTGGGGCAGGGGGCCAAGGGAAACATGGGGGCTCTCTACGGCTCCTCACATCATGGGGTTTTGAGAAACCGAGTTCCCTACTCCTGTCTCTGCTCCAGGGAGACTGGGTTTGGCTGAAGAAATTCCCGGGGGAACAGCACATAGCTATCCGCCCAGCGACCAAGATGGCCTTCTCCAAGGTGAGAGTGGGCCTGTGATGGGGTGTGAGGTGGCCATCGTTTCCTCCCTCCTTGCCTTCTCTTTGCAGCTGAGTCCAAGTAGACCCCACTGTGGCAGGGACGACGAAGAGCTCTCAGTGAAGTGTCCCCTCCTCTCTAAAGCAGGTTTCTTATCATGCTCTCCTATAACACTAGTTCTTTCCTTGGAGGTGTTGATCATAATTTGTAGTTGTTCACCTGTGTGTGCTTGCTTATTTCTTATCTGCCTCCCTCCCTGAACTGTAAGCTGAGTGAGGGCTTTTCCCCTTCCCCCTCCATTGTATTAATATTTCCAGCACCCAGCACAGTGTCTGGAACATTAGAGACATCCAGTGAATGTTTGTTGAGTGAATGCTAGAAAATAAATGGGTTTCCAGTTCTGTCAGGCTGCTTGCACAGAATGGCCTAGTTGGTGCATACTGAGTGACATGGAAAGTTGGCAAGGAGGCTATAAACTGGCTTATTCTGGTCATTCCAACCTTAGTGCCCCCCTTACCCCTAACACCATACAGCCTTGGCCTGGCCTCCTTCCCGGATGCCTCCACAGAAGCTCTTGGTCACAGCTGCAGAATGACTTAAGTCATTAAGTGGGCTACCAGTTGTCAACGGACTAAATCACCGTTTAACAGCAGGCATTAAGATGAAAAGAAGCCCCTTGTTGGACGAAAGAAAATCTAGAAAGGGCACCAGTCACCCACTAGCCCTCATTTTCCCAGCCAGACTGTGAGGGCCTCTGTCCCACCGAGTGGGTGTGGCCTTGTTGCTGGCTCCTCTGGGACACAGCTCAACTAGTTAGTCCTTCTTCCTTAACGTGGTGGGGGGCGGGGCGGGGTGCCTCTATCTGGCACAATGATGTAACAAGCAAAGCAGCCCTGGGCTGAGTCACCAGCATAAGCCACTTCTGGTGATTTTTGAAAGCACTGCAGTGTCTGCCTGATTGTCCCCTCAAGGGACGGTTATATCAGAAGTTGGGGGCGGGGGGCGGTGAGTACCAGGAGCTTTTCCTTCATGAGGTGTTTTCCCTTAAGACCCAGGAAGTTCAAAGTCTTATGGTTAATAAATCAGAAACTGCCTGGGTCCTGATTTGCCAGCGCAAAATTGTCTTTTCATTCATAACTTTAAGTTAACACCACGTTCTGTGTCTGCACGGTGGCCTTTGACTGTGTTGTCTTTCCTAGAGAGAGAAGGTATCTGTAGAAGGAAGCCCCTACATGCCCTATAGACCTCTCCACTCACCATTTTTACCCCATCCTCCAATCAAAAACAGACCTGAAGAACAGCCTCCTCCCCACCTCGCTCCCAAAACAGCAAATACCTGTTAATTCCCGCCCCCTCCCCCAGATCCGGGAGCTCCGGCATGAGAACGTGGCCCTCTACCTGGGGCTCTTCCTGGCGGGGGGAGCTGGCGGTGCCGCGGCCCCCGGGGAAGGGATGCTGGCTGTAGTCTCAGAGCACTGTGCCCGTGGCTCCCTCCAAGACCTCCTCGCTCAGAGAGACATAAAGCTGGACTGGATGTTCAAGTCCTCCCTCCTACTGGACCTCATCAAGGTGTGCATGTCGGGGTGGGACCGGGTGGGCTGCGGCGGGGAGGAGCCGGCGGGGGGAACCGCGTGGGCTGAGGCTGCCCCTGACGCCACTCCTTCCAGGGAATAAGGTATCTGCACCATCGAGGCGTGGCCCACGGGCGGCTGAAGTCACGGAACTGCGTGGTGGACGGGAGGTTCGTGCTTAAAGTCACCGACCACGGTCATGGGCGACTGCTGGAAGCGCAGAGGGTGTTACCGGAGCCTCCCAGCGCGGAGGGTAGGATTCCCAGGCTGCCTCCCGGGCGGCCGAGCGGCCCCCGCATCCCCGATGTTTCAAGGCCCTCTCCTTTCCTCCTTCCCTCGCACTCTGTCCATCCCACACCCACCGGACGGGACTCCTGCCGCGGAGGAGGTCTTGTGACCTCTGAGATGAAGGGAGTCTGGCTCCGTGACTGGGGAGGCGGGGAGTCGTTAGGGGGCGGGACTTGTGCCTGAGGGGCGGAGCTCCTGCCCTTGCAGGGGGGGTCTGCTTCTAGTGGGGCTTTGCCTAAGGGCGGGGCTTGTGCCCAAGGAACCTAGTCTGCTCTCGGCACCGCTTTGTCTAAAGGGCGGGTCCTATTTGTGAGGGCCCGGCTTTCTGAGACCTGCTCTGGGTTTCTGGTAGTTTCTCCTGGGGATCACTGCGGGCAGCAGGGCCAGACTGAGGCTGGGGAGTTGAGCGGGTGCGAGCCTGGGCTTTCTGGTGAGGGTGTGGGGGGGTCTGTCCCTAGCGCCTCTATGGCCCTCCGCGTGCCCACGCCCCCTTCCCCGACCCCAGACCAGCTATGGACAGCCCCGGAGCTGCTTCGGGACCCGGCCCTGGAGCGCCGGGGAACGCTGCCCGGCGACGTCTTCAGTCTGGGCATCATCATGCAAGAGGTCGTGTGCCGCAGCGCCCCTTACGCCATGCTGGAGCTGACTCCCGAGGGTACGGCCGCTCTCGCCTGGCCTTTGGACTAGAAAGACACCCTGCTGTTAGGCAGAGACCCAGCCTCACTCGGTGCTGAGACTTACTTATGTGGGACTCCCTAGAGCTGAGTTCTGAAGGGTCAGGGCTGTGGAGAGCCAAGCATCAGGATGGGAGGGGGCGGCCTTTCAGCACCCAGACGTCAGTGGTTTCCTCTGTCCCGACCCTGGACCCAGCCTGCTGCCCCAACGGTGGTAGCAAGCTCCTCTCTGGTTCTTAGGGGCCCCAGGGAGGCAGCACCATAGGGGGAAGGGGGAAACAGAGCAGATGGATCTGGTTCAGATCTATATTATCATGTATAGGATACAGCATGCTACTTGATCACTCTAACCCTCACTTGTCTTATGTGCAATAAATGTCAGTCTCTTTGCCTGGCCCCTCCTACTGCCCCTGGCCCCCAGAGTTCAGGGTCCTGTTGCTCCCAGCAACACCTCCCACACTACACTTCCCCACCTACTGAAGCTTCCCCTTCCAGCCCCCTCCTCTTGAGCTTCAACAATCAGGCCAGAGTCAGAGGTGGCTTCTGTTCTGGCACACCCCCTCTCTTGTTCCCTTCATGCCTCCAGAAGTGGTGAAGAGGGTACAGAGCCCCCCTCCGCTGTGTCGGCCCTCGGTGTCCATGGACCAGGCACCCATGGAGTGCATCCAGCTGATGAAACAGTGCTGGGCAGAGCAGCCGGAACTGCGGCCCTCCATGGACCGCACCTTCGACCTGGTCAGGGGCTGGGCTGGGCAAGGACTGGGCTGGCCGTTTGCCAACAACTTGGGGTGGGGGAGGGGAGGCTGCAGGAAGGCAAGCTGGCAGGATCTCTGACCTTCCAGGCTACTTCCTAAGGGGTCGTCTGAGGATTAAGGGTTTGGTGGGGACAGAATTAGAATGGGGGCTGTGGAGGCCTTTGGAGGGGAAGATGGATCTCTGGGTGGGAGAAATATTTAATTCAATTCAAATGACATTTATTGAGTATGTGTTTGGCCTAGTGAGGGAGAAGGACCCTTGGCCTGGGAGTCCAAAGACTGGGCTGGTTCCAGCGCCTTGTCAGTTGCTAACAGAACAGGTGACCTCCTAATAACTTGTGAAAACACAGTGCCCAGCACGGGGCAGCACGGGCTTGATGGGTATAGATGAAAGGGGGTGGGGGCAGAGGATCAGGCATAATACAGCCCCATGAGAGGGGCATGGCCGGCCAGGTCCTCAGCAGCCCCACCAGCTTCCTCCTCCTACTAGTTCAAGAGCATCAACAAGGGCCGGAAGATGAACATCATTGACTCGATGCTGCGGATGCTGGAGCAGTACTCCAGCAACCTGGAGGACCTGATCCGGGAGCGCACCGAGGAGCTGGAGCTGGAAAAGCAGAAGACAGACCGGCTGCTCACACAGATGCTGCCTCCGTGGGTGCCTACGGGGAGAGGTGGGTGGGGAGGACAGCTGGAATCCAGCCAGACTGGGGTGGCCTCCAGGTGAGCTCACCACCTGCCATCCCCAGGTCTGTGGCTGAGGCGCTGAAGATGGGGACACCTGTGGAGCCCGAGTATTTCGAGGAGGTGACACTGTACTTCAGTGACATTGTGGGTTTCACCACCATCTCAGCCATGAGTGAGCCCATCGAAGTGGTGGACCTGCTCAATGACCTCTACACGCTCTTTGACGCCATCATCGGCTCCCACGATGTCTACAAGGTGGGGTGTGTAGGGGGCAAGCCCTCCTTCAGCTTCTCCAGCCCCCGCCCCCCTGCCCGAGGTCACCAGCACGATCCTCTTTCCCAGCCCTCCTGTCCCTTTTCTCCTCTGCCGGTCCCCAGCTCAGTCCCCCAGCTGGAAGGCTCCCCAGGATCTCTGTACTCACCCCAGTTTAGGCCTCCCGACAAGGGACATTGGCATTGGCGGGGTGCTCAGTACTGAATTCTCTCCTCAGGTGGAGACAATCGGGGACGCCTATATGGTGGCCTCAGGGCTGCCCCAACGGAACGGGCAGCGGCACGCAGCGGAGATCGCCAACATGGCTCTGGACATCCTCAGTGCCGTGGGCACCTTCCGCATGCGGCACATGCCCGAGGTGCCCGTGCGCATCCGCATCGGCCTGCACTCGGGTAACTCCGCGCCTTCCCGGGCTCTCCAGCCCATCTCCCTCGTTAGGGCCGGGCTCCAGGTTTCCTAGATAGGAGGCAAACTCGTGGAGTGGGTGGGGGCGGGGACTTGTCTTGAAGCCACCTTTTCACAGCAGGCACCGCCTTGTAATTGGGAGGGTACGCTTGAGAGGGTTTCTTTGGGAAGCCAGTGGAGATTATGCGGTGCTAAAGGCCCCCCCGCCGAGCCCTAGGTGCCACCCAGCCGCCAGCAGGCCAGCTTCAGCGCGGGCCAACCAGCCCACCGACGCCGCGTGTCTCCACAGGCCCGTGCGTGGCGGGCGTGGTGGGCCTCACCATGCCGCGGTACTGCCTGTTTGGGGACACGGTCAACACAGCCTCGCGCATGGAGTCCACCGGGCTGCGTGAGTGTGACGGGGCGGGAGGGGCGGGGAGGGGGAGCGGGAGGGGTGTCCTGAGCTCACGGTGTCCTCTGAGCTCGCGGTGTCCCCTGCCGTCCCAGCTTACCGCATCCACGTGAACCGGAGCACCGTGGAGATTCTCTGCGCCCTAGACGAGGGCTTCCAGACCGAGGTGCGGGGTCGCACGGAGCTGAAGGTGAGGCCGGGCTGGAAGACGCAACTCACCATGCCCGATTCCACTGAGACCTCGAGATCCACCGGCCCTCACCTCAGTCCGCCTGAGTCCTCCCCTCCCCCGTGTCTCCCCAGGGCAAGGGCTGCGAGGAAACGTACTGGCTGGTGGGCAGACGCGGTTTCGACAAGCCCATCCCCAAACCGCCTGACCTGCAACCAGGGTGAGGATCCGGCCCTCACGCGCCAGGACCGAGTTGGTCCCTCCATGCCCTCCCTCCCCTCCTGCCGTGCACTGGACCCCGCCCTCCTACTGCCTATCCGCCCTCCATGAGGCCGCCCCTCCCTTCGCCACAGGGCCAGCAACCACGGCATCAGCTTGCAGAGTATCCCGCCTGAGCGGCGCCAGAAGCTGGAGAAGGCGAGGCCGGGCCAGTTTTCCGGAAAGTGAGGCTGGGCCTGGGACAAGGTACTGCCCCCTTGGCTCCCACGCCCCACAGACCCTGAGGGCTACACACATGCTTCCTGGAGGACGGGCACCTCTTCCCCAGCCTGAGGACCTAGCCCTGCCTGCCTGCAGAACGTCCCACTCAAGCCAGGTGTCCCCATCCTTCTCTGACTTGGTGAGCGCAGGCTGGTTCCTAAACCCAGGGATTTCCCAGCCACAGGGACCCTGGTTCGGTAGGTCTGGAGTGAGCCAGGAGTCTAGACTCGAGAATGACTCTCCCCTACTGAGGTGAACCCCCGTGACCCCTTTCCATGGTTTCCCTCTGAAACACTCCTCTCTCCCTCAGGATTATTCCAGAAGGTCCTTTTCCTGAAAGTTGCTGCTGTAGGTGACCAAAAGTCTGGCTAATACCAGTGGCTTCCGTCCAGCTCTGCCTCAAAGGATTCTGAGCCTTTGCAAGAGCTGGTTGCAAACCAGCTGTGTGACCCTGGGAAAGTCTCATGCACTCTCTGGGCTTGGTTTCCCCTCCATGGTAAAATGAAGAGTGGCCTACCTAGGTGGTTTCCATACCCTCCGGCCCTGACAGCTGGCCTTCAGAATGGTTGGCCTTGGGGTACAGGGCACTGGGCACGTGGCCTCCAGCCCCAGTGACCCTGAGCCCATCAGAAAGGCCCCAGGAAGGAGGATCTGGGATTGGATGTCCCAACCCCAGAGGAGGTGGAGACCACCTATTCCACCAGAGCAGGGGTGTCGTGTGGCCTGAGGATTTGAGGGCTTCTCCATCCCCCTCCTTCTTCTGTGGCATAACCACATACTTTGCCCAAGTGCAGAGAAAAGCTTGTTTCAAAGCTTAGGGGAAACGAAGGTAAACAAACCCCACGAAACCTCTCCTAACCAGAACACCCAGGAATAGTAGTATTCTCTGTTTAACTGGGCGCCACTGAGCAGGCAGTTGAACAGAAAATCCTCCCAGCTTAGATCTTTGCGACAAGTATCAACCCCTCCCATCCCAGTAAGTCCCCAGGTAAAGCTTCTTTTGTGGAACTCTGATGTCCCAGAGCCTGAGCCTTGGCATATTGGACTCTGGGTGGCCTTCGCCGTTGCTGCAGAACCTGGCAGAAGTTAGCAGCAGCTGTAGCCACGCAGGCTGTCACTAGGTGGTGAGCCTCCAGTCCCTGGAGATGTGCAAGCAGAACTGGAGACCTCTTTGAGCAGGGAGAGAAAGGTCAGAGGGACTTCCTAGGCGGAAGGATGAACTAAATCCTCGCCACACAGTGTGGTAGGTAGGCCAGCAGCAGCGACATCGCCTGGGAGCTTGTTAGCAATGCAGAATCTCAGGCCCAGGCGTATTGCAACAGAATCTACACCCTAACAAAGTTCCTTCAGAGTATTTCTATGCACATTAAAGTTTCTGAGTCAGAGAACTAAAGGATCCTAGGATCCCTAAAATCTCAGAACTGCTAAGATTTCATAAAAACCAGCCTAGAAACTAGCCCTGAGACTTGTTTCGTTTGATCAATGACGTGGTTTTGTTTTTGTTTTGAGCTAACATTTAGAAATCAAGAGATACCACATTGTAAAAATGGCTGCCAAATTTCCCTCTTCTCTGAAATCAAAAGCCCCACACAGGGGCAATTGTTGACTTCCTGCTGGAGCAAAAGAGCAACCATCCCCTCGTTCCGTCTCTCCAGGGTTGCGCTTTTCTGTTCTCACCACGGGGAGTGGAGTGCCCACCACTCCCCCTGGACTCCGAGACACCAAGATTTTCTGAACATCTCTTATGTACCTGTCCAGAGCCTGTAGACGTTAGACCTCAGGACTCTGGAGTAGCTGATGTTAGGATTACAGGCACTGCTGGAGATCGCTCTGCCTGGCTCGTAAAGTCCACAAGTTCAATGGTCTGCCCCTCCTTCCTAAAGGTAGGGGAAGAACAGACAAGATACCTAAAATCCAGCACTTGTAGGTTCTGGTTACTAAGGTGGTGCTGCTATAGTGAGTAATATAGTATAATTTAAAGAACATTTTTAACCGAGTTCAGAGATGATGAATTAAAGATTTTTTTAAAAACCCTGATGCACACACACACAAGATATTTTTAAAATTATGTACATTCTTAAACATCTCTCTTCAGATTTTCTCTGTACTTAGGCCCCAGGAATCAAGGGCAGGCTCGGAGCTTTGGGAAAGAATTGGCCTGGGATTAGGTGCAGGAGGATTAGTGTGGACAGGCTGGGGCAAGGCACCCCCAGAGGGGGAGGAGTATGACCTGGGGCCCAAACCCAGTTTGGGGCAGAGGCGGGGCGGGCAGGGCTGAGCGGATCCCTTCCCACCCTCAACTCAGCCTTGTTCCTGGGACTCAGTCTCAAAGACGAGTGACAGTGGGGAGGAGCTGGTAAAGGAGAGGCCTGTCCTCCTCCCCAGCCAGGAGAATGCAGGACCACCCGCCCCAGAGAGCTGGTGAGAGAAGAGGAGGGAAACAGCTAAGCCCCAGTCTCCTCTCTGCCCCTAGTCTCCTCTCTCTGCTGGGAAGTTTCTCCTTGCCTTTCTCCTCCATTTCTGTGGAACCTTTTCTCCTGGGCCCAGTCAGTCTCCTAGAGCCCAGCTGCCCTCAGACCCAAGTCCTCTCCACCTGGTCACCCCTCTTGTTCCGGGGACCCGGGCAATTCCCAGCCCAGAGAGCACCCGGCTTGGCCACTAGGCACCCCTCACCCTCAGACGTGTTTACACTACCTCGGCCAGCTGGCCTGTGCCAGGAGCCCACGCTCGGGGTGGCCTTGCCTTCGGGATGGCTCTGTCGCCAGGAGCAGCGCTGGCCGAAGCAGGGACCTCCCGCAGCTCTGCTGCTGCTTCCATCCCATAGCCGGGACGCCGCACCCTGACCCAGGGCTCACCTGGCGCCATTGTCTGTGCTGTTCCTCAGGGTCGGGGCCCTGCTCCCCATCCCCACCTGCAGTGGACCCCCGACACCCCCCTTTGGGGGACCTGTGACACTGCGTTGTGGGACCGCGTTCACTGAGATCTGGACTGTGCGCTGTGGACACCAGGCTGTGCGCCGTGGTGCTGGGTCCTGGCAGGGTGGGGGCTGGAATAAAGGTGTGCTTTCTTCCATTCCACGGTGTGTGGTCCTTTTGGCCTGGGTGGCCCGAACACCCCCATCCCCGGAGTGCTGGCATTGCCACGGAGGGCTTCAGATAAGGGGTGAACCTTAGAGATGACCCAGGCAGGGGGAGATGAACTGGGGTCAGCAACCCCCCGCCCAGAAACCCCTCTGCTCAGGGGATCTACTCTGAGGGAACCAAGCAGGGAAGCTACAGGTCTTTCAAGCTTCTAGAAAAGACCAGGGTCTCTGAGGCTCTGGAAATGGGCGGTGTGGCCTCATCCCTTGGTCATAGGCAGGAGAGAGGAAGGAAAAGAAGAGCAGAGCTTGTCTACGGCCAGGACCCAGGAACCGTGGAGGCCAGAGTCCGATTCTGAGGGAAGGGGGCCCCCAAATTGGGAAGTTGAGGTCCACTGATCTCTGGACAAGACCTCACCAAAACCCACACTCTACCTCCAACCCTTCCAGAGCCTACCACTGGCACATTAGAACAGGAGAGAACATCCCAAAGCCACCCATGGGTGACCAGCCCATTGGTCATCTATTTTCTTTGAGCCCAGCTATCCCGGCCCCAGGCTCAATGTTTCTGACATGATGACTCGTGATGGACGTTGGATGTTCTGCCTTCCTAGCAACCGTCTGCTCCATGATGGGCAACCATCCCTGCCCCACTCTCAGTCCCTGTGGAACTGACCCCAGACCTCCCTCCAGTCCTGCCCAATCGCTCCATCCCTCTGGCCACAGGGATTGCTTCAAGGACAGGCAGGTGACCCAGTCGAAGCAAACAAGGCTTCGTGTTGAGACATTGCTAGAAGCCAAGGGCAGAAGTTGCATCTCTTCTCTGGGGTTGCTGAGAGGATGTGACTCTGAGTGGTTTTGCCACCACAAAGAAGGAGCAGAACCGACAGCTGGGCAGTGACTAAGTCCTGCTGCCACTTGTTTGAGCCTCTACCCTTCACTAGGCTTAACCAGTTCCTGCTAGTCCAGTACGATGGGATAGCAAGTTGTTTTCTTTGCTTAAGCCAGATTGAATCAGGTATTCTGTTCTTTGCAGTCAAAAGTGTCTCAAAAGGATTGTGGGAAGCAGTGGGGGTTGGACTGGTTTAAGAGGAAAGAAAAGGAGATAAACACTGAATTTGGAGGGAGGAGGGAGTGAAGGATGAATGACAAGAGATGATGTCTCTCTCTAAGCCTCAACTCCACTGAGAGTCAGCCCGGGCCCTTCCCTGCAGTATGACTGTTCCTGAAATTCCATTTACGGGGGAACCTAACCCAGGCAGAGGTTAGGACCTTGTGAGAGAAAAGGCGCACAGCCTGGTAGCCTTGTCGGGACTCTCGTGCTGACTCAGCATTTAGAAGGTGGAGGAATCTTTCAGGTCCTGCCCCAGAGGAGACGATGCAAAGGAGAGTGAAGTGAGGTCTCTAAGATCAGCGCATCTTGTTTGTCAACATCCTCGTGAGTTAGTGACTAGACTTTGACAAGGAGATTGGGGGGGACAGGCGGCTTGCCCTGCTCCCAGAGGGGGAAGGGAGCAGAGAAATTGGGGAGAAGGACAACTGCGATGTCTGGGAAACCCAGGTTCCCACAGAGAGGAGCTTGTTTGTCACAGTCTAGAGACTCGTCCATCCAAACTAAAGCCATTTTGTCACCTCCACCAGGGACATTGCACTTTACCACCCACCCCTGAGTCTGGGTCTCTGGTCCTGGACCCAGAGAAGGGCATGCCACACTGGCGCTTACCCATTCTGTCACAGGGAACATCGATCCCATCACCTAAAAAGCACGTCCCCATATACGACACCTAATCCTCACACAACCCATTTTACACACATGGAAACTGAGGCTCCCAGTGGTGAAAAGCCTTGTCAATCACCGCAGTTCCAGCAAATCTTGGGATCAGGAAGCACACCCAGGAGTTCAGGCTCTAGGCCTCGGGGTGCCTCTCAGCGATGCTCTGGAGATGTTTCTCTCACAGGCAGCCCTGCTTTGTGACCCCTTGATTCTTTTCTGCAAGAGCACGACTTAAACTCCAAACCAATGTCTGTGCAATCAGATTCTTAAAGACTTTTGACTTGGTGGGATATGAACATGAACCCATTTTACATTTCTCCAACCAGTACCTTCAAAAGTCCAGTCCAGTTGAAAACTCCCATTTCCTAATATGCTCTGAAAGTCTGTTCCTCACCACGCCGGTCAGGGCCCTGGTGGGGCGGGGGTGTAGTGGGGGAGGAGGGAAGGAGCAGGCCTGCTCCTTCCCTCCTCCCCCAACTCTGGCTTCTCCATCAGGAGAGGAGGGACATAGGGGCATCATTTGATCCTGGGACCCCCACCCCCTCATTCTTCAAAGGAGGAATACAGCGGAAGCTTAACTGGTTGCCGGCTCAGGAAAATTCCCCTGGTCTGCTGGTGCTGGCTGGAGATGCCATCCTCTCTACCTGTGCAGAGGTGATTTCACTGCAAAGCTGATGAAGGTGAAACTTCACAATCTCTCACCCGCACAAGTCCCTTCCAAGCCTCACTACCCAATTTTGTATTCTTTTTCTTAAAGAGGGCCTTCAAAGTTGGATAAGCTTGGGAATTCCCTGGTGGTCCAGTGGTTAGGACTCTGTGCTTTCACTGCCGGGGGCCCAGGTTCGATCCCTGGTCGGGGAACTAAGATCCCGCGAGCCGCGCAGCCCAGCCAAAAACAAACAAACAAACAAAAAAAGGTTGGATGAGCTGAGGGTCCCCACAACATTTGGATCCATCCTGGGTATAGTCCCCTGGGGGTTGGGGAGTAGCTTCCCCAGCCTTCTTCATCACTGAAGGCAGAAAGCAGCAGCTGGGACTTCTCTGGTGGTCCAGTGGTTAAGACTTCGCCTTCTAATGCAGGGGATGCGGGTTCGATCCCTGGTCGGGGAGCTAAGATCCCCCATGCCTTGGCCAAAAAAACCAAAACATAAAACAGAAGCAATGCTGTAACAAATTCAATAAAGACGAGGCTACCCAGGTGGCGCAGTGGTTAAGAATCTGCCTGCCAGTGCAGGGGACACGGGTTCGAGCCCTGGTCCGGGAAGATCCCACAGGCCATGGAGCACCACAACTACTGAGCCTGCAAGCCACAACCACTGAAGCCCATGTGCCTAGAGCCCGTGCTCTGCAACAAGAGAAGCCACCGCAATGAGAAGCCGGCGCACCTCAACGAAGAGTAACCCCCACTCACCGCAACTAGAGAAAGCCCGCACGCAGCAACGAAGACCCAACGCAGCCAAAACTAAATAAACAAATACATTTTTTAAAAAAAGAGAGAGTTTTAGTGTAGTTTATCATGCAGCAATGGATAACCAGAACAAGCTCTCCATTTCAGAAGACCTCTAAACCTTGGCTGAGATTTTTGAAAAACTCAGGTCAGCAATCCGCTGACAGATGGTTTCTGAGAGGGACTTCTCCCAGAAAAGGTAGAATAAACACATTTTTTTTTTTTTTTGCCTATTTCTTCCCACATCTAAAATTCCTTTGGGGATCCACCCATCTCCACCCTCAATCCATATAGTTTGTATGGGACTAATTCCAGCTCCAGCTTCAGAGTCTGTGACCAAGGCCAGTTCAGTGAGGGTCAGCCCCAGAACATCTGCAGTAAGCGGGTGACATCGTCTTTGTGCTAGGGTTGCTAAGCTGGAAGGATAGAAGCCCAGAGCTGCTGGTCATCATTTCTGCCACCACTTGGGAAAAGTCTGCCTGAGAATGAGCTAACACAGCTCAACACAGAAGAAAGCAGAAATGAAATATTGAGGAAGCACAATTCCTGACACATGTTCTGGGCACCTGGATCCATCCAGGCCTGAAGCCATTACTCCTGAATTTTCCAGTTACATAAACCAGTATGCTCCCATATTTTATCGGGCTGGTTTGAGTTTAGATTATCCTGTTTGTTTATCTCTGCCTATTAAAATTGTATCAGTTTTTCATCACTAGTTTAAAACTCACTTCCTACGAGAAGATTTCCTTGAATTATTTAGGGAGTATTTATTGTTTGGGCTTTTCTATTGCCCAGAAAAGACCTCCCAACATACTTCTGAAAAATCCCCACAGCCCTCACAGCTCATCATCATCACCAACGTGGCTACGATGGACACAGCCACCCTGATATCTTTTTTTTTTTTTGCGGTACGCGGGCCTCTCACTGTTGTGGCCTCTCCCGTTGCGGAGCACAGGCTCCAGATGTGCAGGCTCAGCGGCCATGGCTCACGGGCCCAGCCGCTCCGCGGCATGTGGGATCTTCTGAGTCCGGGGCACGAACCCGTGTCCCCTGCATCGGCAGGCGGACTCTCAACCACTGCGCCACCAGGGAAGCCCCTATGTTATGTGTATTTTACCACAATTTATAAAATGGGTGATCTATAAAATCCAAACTTTTTCCCCAGAAACGACGGGTAAAATTGGGTATATTTTAATACAAGCAATGGGTATATTTTCTATAGCCGCATGATTTCCTCTCTCTGAGGATCCAAATGACGATTTCTTTGAAGTCTTCTGTTCCCTAAATTATCTGCCCCTTCAGTTTTGTTTTTGTCCTTGTCTTTTAGATGGAAGCCTTCCTTGAAGATGAGGTGATCCTTGGCCATTCATTCATTTTTAAGAATGAGGCAAGAAAAACTGATTGGAAACTGTGTGAACAGGACTTATCAACTGGCGGGCTTAATTGGCAGAGCCATTTCATTGGGGAACCCCACATGACACTTGGGCTGGTCCGTTCCTCTAGAGAGACACCTTCCAGTCTTACCAGAGGGTGAGGGTCGAGGTGGGGCGGCGGGGGGGGTGGTGGTACTTGACTGCCAACATACTTGGGGCCATCCAGGGAATGGGGCCAGAGCCTCCACCGTCACCTCATCCTCCAATTTTTTTAAAATAAATTTATTTATTTATCTTTAGCTGCATTGGGTCTTCGTTGCTGTGCACGGGCTTTCTCTCATTGCGGCGAGCAGCGGCTACTCTTCATTGCGGTGGCTTC